GAAATCGACTACTTGAATTTTTTCCAAAAATTTTGCTGTTTTTTGCGAATATCACGGAACGCTCCAGGAAATTTTGTCGGCCAAATCCAGCTTCGAATTCAGCACCTCCAAAAACATATGAGAGCACAGAGAAATCGACTACTTGAATTTTTTCCAAGTGAAAATACCATTTGATTGGACCATCTTGAATTACTGGTTTTATGGTCTATTATAATGTTACGAGACTATATCTCTCGCGGAATAGACTCGCACGCTGTTCTCGGAAGCCAGCATCACAACGGTATCACACGGGCGTTACGTGGAAGATGTAAGAAGAATTGGCGAAGGATCTCGAAAGCTTATGTTGTATTTGTTGTACTATGTTGCATATTATTTATGTCGTGGTAAACTAGATGTTGACGTTTGTTGTGTGTTTCGATTTGGAGCGGTAAAGTTGGTAAAGTTGGTGTGGACGGTTCGTCGCAAGAAATTGCAACAGAAAATTGATTTGATTTCCGAATCAGGGGATCTATTTTCCTTAGTAAACCTTCCATGTGACAACTAGACATACGGAAAAAATTCTTAAAACTGCCATCTGTTCGAAGTCCACCCCAAAGAAGATCGTCTTCCAGCAAATCTTTTAACAATTCATTTCCTCCTTTTATTTTTATTTTTTTTAGTTGGGAGAACCCAGTACAAAAACAGAACGAGCCGCGGCCGCAAAAATCACCTCATCATACACGATGTTTATTGGGGTTGCATGTTTAAAAAAATGAAAATCGACATCATGCAACAATGTTGACTTTGTGGAGACACTTTGTTAGTGGAAGTTGTTCTAGACATATTGTATCTCCAACAAAGTTGAACTATGTTGGTCTGTGTTGCTTTGGTGGAGACATACCTTCAGATCAGAAATTGCGGGGCGTAGCATAGCATAACAGCATAATCAATTGTATTTCGAAGGAGAGCTGATTCTCATGAACCTCAGCCTTTACGGAAGTCTTGATGTTTCGTTCTCTAATGACGGACATACTGTAGTGTTTGTATTTGAATGGATCGTTTTGTTTTCTATTGAGTGTTTGTGGAAGACTGAACCCGGAACCCGGACGTTTCTCGTAACAATTGGTTTTCAGATCCTGACTGCCCGCGTTTACCTACAGAAAATGCTGTGACAATCCCAGTCATTCGTGGAGGACAAGAATTGCCACAATTGTTGTTAGATCTCCGAACATCACGAATTTATAATTGGAAGTCTGCAGTCGTAATTTATGATGAAACATTAGGTTAGTACATCTCAAATTGTATTATTTTAACTCAAAATTATCAGTTAAATTCAATCCAATGTGCGTCTGAAAAAGTAGTTTTTGAAGATCAAGAACCTTCATTTTCAGATGATGGTATGGGCATCTATACAGGTGATCCTTAAGAAATTATACATAGAAGTGTGTAGGGGTTTGGTTTCAAATTCAAACAAAACATGTCATTACTATCGTATTATTATATCAAATTGTATAATAAGTACCTATTTTCAACAATTTATAACTTTCATAAGTTCAAAAAAGTTCCAATACCTACCTTTCCATATCCTTCCGAAGTACGCACGATGTTCCACAAACTTAATAGAGATTCCCTTACGTACGATCAGAAGATGAAAAAACGTATACCTCTTGTATGTAACTTTCAGAAGAATATATGACAACTCGCATCATAAAATCGGTTACCCAAAGAACCAACTACCATGACGTTCACTCCACCGGAATTCCACTAGTACATCTGAAACCGAATATCTCAAATCACTCCTCTCGACTATCCATCCCAAAACCGCAGGACATATAATTTCCCTGGTCATCGCTAGTCGCACTATCTTCCAAAAGTTCAGAAAAATTCAAATACGTACCTTTTCCTATCCATCCAATACAATAAAAGAAACTGGTAGATAACGAAAGAAAAACAACTACTTTCCTGGCTATATATGCCACGCAGAACATTGAATTACATCCTCCCGAAATCTATGCAGACGAATCACAAGTGTTTCTTTCCTAAATGCTGAATCATGCTTAAATTGAACAACAATGAACGCTATATCGAGCTTTCGGCTCTCATCAGTGCAGGGGTGTCCCCAAATGGCATTCATGACCGCCACCTGGTGCGAACCTGACCCAACGTAAACACATTCCAGCATTCCAATACCCATGAGGAGTTCGGCCACTGCGAGATGGACACAAACGCCACAACGAATGAACGCCTTCAATTTCTCTTTGAGCATTTTGGATTTCTAATAGTTGAATTTATGCCAGTCTGGCAGTCAACCACTCCCATTTCATCTGAAACAGGAATCTGTTTTGGAGTGTTTCTTTTCTTCTACCCTAGGTGTCGTTCGTGTCCATCTCGCAGCGGCCGATCGCCTCGTGGGTATTAAAAGCTGGAATGTGCATACGTTGGGTCAGGGTCGCACCAGATGGCGGTCATGAATGCCATCTGAGGACACCGCTTCACAGATGAATACCAAAAGCTCGAAACCGGTTTGTAGGTAGTCAAGCGTTCCTGAACACTTTAAGCACGATTGAGCATTTAGGAAAGGAACACTCGCGATCCTATTCGTCTATACGTATCGTTGCATAAATTTCGGGAGGATGTAATCCAAAGTTTTGCGTGGCATATAGCCAGAAAAGTAGTTGTTTTTCTATCGTTAATTACCAGTTTCGTTCATTTATGAACATTTGTGGAAATGACTTGGAGCTATGCATATTTCAATGAACTCCGAGATGAACTCAATATAAACACCTGGAAGGGACCCTTTATGAACGACGAGTGAAGCAAAAATATTGTTCAGGCAACCCGCAGTGTTTACGAATACCTATCTCTTTCTAGCTCATGTTGGCTAATTAGAAGCACTCGCATTATTTGAAATATTTTCTCGTTTTTTGCTTTTATTCAAGAGTAAATGTGATTAAATATAAATATGTATTTTGGAAAGAGGATAATGTTGCAATCAATTATCATTAAAAAATTATTATTGATTTTCGTATTGACAAAAAAATTAAATTTCATTTTTATTCTTACAGGATTAGCCCAGCCAACCATGAGATGTATAATTGATGTATACGCCACATCACTTTGTGACATGCGATATCTCATTTGAAGTCACAAACATGTTACCGATACAACGTGGCGATGTGAAAATGTCCGACTCAAGCAATATCACTGTGACGTCGTTCAGACCTAAAATGCGACATCACATGAAAAATCATTACCAGGTCACATACAAGTGTACATTTCATATTACAAATACATCACACTGCGACATCGATGATGTGGTCGCCATACCTGTGATATTCGTGGGATATATAATAATAATAATTATTCAACTTCACGAAGAAAATGTTTATTTTCCGAAAGTAAAAACAGATGATACAAAACTTATCATGACAATCACCCTAATTAGTAATCTTGAAGTGAAACATGACACATATATATATAGCAATACAAATATACATTATTCATAAATGATACATATCAAATACACTTACATTATCTTGGGATCTTTCATCCACCTTGTTTTAGATTGCAATATCCCTATCTCAGAGATAATTACAATATTACCTATTGTGATTGAACTCACCGTCGTTCCTAAATGATTGTATACCTCCAATTTGAAGCTGCTATAATATGTGCTTTGAATCATCTTAGATATTTCAACAGAGAATTTGGAAGGAAATAGTCTGTACGGAGTCGGACTCACTCACTGACTGACTGACATGGCCATGCACAGCTCAACATGGCGTCTGGTGTGTGCGTTCGTTTTGCGCATGTCTGCGTCACACTCACTGGTCACAAAGATATCTCATGAGGATATCGATGTGAATTATTTAGTTAACGTCGAAGAGATGTAGTTTGAAGAAGTCGCTGCCACATTACATAGTTTCCTGGTTGCGATGTCACCTTGCGACGTTGATATCGAATCTACGTCGATAAGATGTGTTAACGAGATATTGCATTTATGCAAGGTTGTTACATCACACAGATGTTGATGTCACACGATGGTTGGCTGGGAAGAAATCAAATGAATACAAAATTAAATTTATATATTTTCATTCAAATGTCACAATATATTGTACAGGGTGAGCGAAGCAAGATGTCTCAGCACTATCAGAAAAAAAAAACGATATAGGAAAAATTTTAAAAGAGGTTCTTGAATGGTATTGAGTACCTAAGGTTCATTTTGAGCACAATTTCTATATGTTCCTTTTTTTCCATTAAGTCACTGCCTACAAACATAATATATCCCTATTAGACATTAAAAAAATAAATTCAATTGATAACCCGTGACACCTTAAATTAGAGCTGAGAAATGTGTTTCGCTCATCCTGTATACTACTTTTACAGTACTTTTACATACATAAAATCTAACAGTTCTTGAATAAAACAAGTTTTGACATTTTTTGTCGAACTGGAGCACTTTTCCCATGTTACTCCAAATTCGTCATTCTACTATGGTGATACATCCTACACTTTAAATATTTCAAGAACTATATTTTCCAAAAATCTGAACAATATTCAACTCATCCGTGGAATGACAATCTCCCTTTGTCTTGCTCGTTCTTGCATCCAAAGGCGACACAATAAATCACCATTGTTCATCAATATGAAATCAAAGTCCTTCTCAACAATCAGTTCACACCAACAAATTCATTCCTTTTGATTAAACACGCCAGATGAAGGGATATTTCACATAACCAAAGACAATGAACTTATGTCTTACTTTCTTGCCTGTTCAGATGAGAGAAAAAAATCTAAATTACTTTAATTGTTAGATAAAAGAAAACGTGAACACCAATCCACGATTAAACAACACGACTAGGATAGAGACAGGTTACCGTAAAACAAGCAATCTTTGTTGCAGCTGCCCCTGACACACTTTGTGCTGTCCGAGAGAACGGTCGTCTCCCTTCCAGGTGTTCATATTGAGTTCATTTGCACATTTAGATGAAAAATTCGTATAACCTTCGTTTGTAACTTTCAGAAAGAGATATGACAACTCGCATCATAAAATCGGTAACCCAAAGAACCAACTACCATGACGTACACTCCACTGGGATTTCACTAGTACATCTCAAACCGAATATCTCAAGGTACGACCTAAAATCACTCTTCTCGACGATCCATCCCAAAGCCGCAGGGCATAATTTCCTGGTCATAGCCAGTCACTATCTGGTGGGAAGTATTATGGAATATGCGAAGTCTTCCAATCTTGTCGACACCATCAACCAATGGTTGTATGTCATCGCCGATACTGAGAATGCTACCCGAGAAATGGAGGTTTTCCACAAGTATTTGGGGGAAGGAGACAACGTGGCTTTCATTTACAATACGACAGTGACATCGGAAAATTGTGTGGTGAGAATTTACTCCAATTATTGACGAATAACGCCAACTGTAATAATTATATATTGAAAACTGGAACCTTTGGCACGATAATACACTACCTTCACTGTTTTACCACTAACCAAACCAATTTTTAAACGTCTCGACACGCGTTTCGCTAACTATGTTAGCATCTTCAGGAGAAGATTAAAAATAAATATCCTATCCTAGTGTGCTAGTATTCAATCCCTAGCAAACATTTTGATATGGGGCATTAATGGCCTGATATATTTTTCCCATACCTGACATCAGCGGCCCAGTGAATGGTCCCATATGCGGGACTCTATACAGGGTGTCAATTTGAAAACTTCCCACCCTTAATATCTCCCTCCAAGTCGTTAATATGGAAAAACGAAAAGACAGGTCGATTTTATTCTCGAGGGGGACACTTTGAATTGATATTTTTGACCATCATGGTTCAACCCCCTAGGAGGGGTAGATGTCACCCTCAGAATATGAATAGGGAAGAGGGGTCAAGTGGCACATCATTTTGTAGGGCGTTCAATTCTCTTTCCAACGATACCCTACTTTACTATTTTTTGACGAGCAATTTCTGAAAAATAGCGTTCTAAATCTACAGAAGTGATCTAAACTTGCCTGCACAAAGATGCATGATTTTCAGGTTAGTATTTGAACAGAGATTTTTGAATTGATTCTCCTTTCAGTAAAACTAGTCAGGAAATTAGGTAACAACTTCACATCTTTTCAACAGGGGCAACATAATATCTTTCTTTTCAACGGTATATCTTACTTTACTATTTTTTGATAACCAGTGATTAGAACTTGCCTTAACTCAGATACATTGTCTTCAGGACGAAAATTATTGTTTTGAATCTTCCATTGATGAAAATGGTTAGAAGGTTAGGTGGCATCGTTACAATAGAAATAAATCTAGTCTACACACGTTTGATTTTTTGTTTGTTGGTTATATTACTTTGAAAAAAACTTTCAGAGTGCCAGATAGAAATTTCAAACATCTATTCACGTACTATCTTATAAACTGTTCGAAATGTTGTCCATTTTGTTCTAAACAGTAATAAAGTCTGTTTTCGAACTCCTCTCTAACATTCTGGAAAACTTCACCACGAATCGAGCGGCATGCTGCTGTAATTCGTCCTTTGAGTTCATCAATATCCGTCGGTTGTGTTTTGTAAATGACGGATTTAAGATGTCCCCAAAGGAAAAAATCTAAAGGAGTCAAATCCGGTGATCTCGGAGGCCACTCAGTTGCTCCCCTTCTGCCAATCCATCTATCCGGGAATCTGTCATTTAACCACTGTCGGGCAGGAAGAAAATAATGAGGTGGGGCACCGTCCTGCTGGAAATGTAACAGATCCTCCTGCAGAAGTAAATTACCGTCTGCATCAATTTGATTTTCTAGCTCGTGAGTTATAAGAGGATCGATAGTATCTTCAAGCATATCTAGGTACAGATTTCCAGTCAAATTTTCTTCAATGAATAAAGGACCAACAATGGCATTTCCAAGAATACCAGCCCAAACATTAATTTTTTGTGGTTGTTGTGTATGTCCTTCTCGAAAAATGTGAGGGTTTTCGTCACTCCAATAGCGACAATTTTGTCTATTCACATTTCCATTCAGAAAAAATGAACATTCATCGCTGAAACAGATATTTAATAATAGATTAGGGATGGCATTGACTCGATTTGACATCGTTTCACAAAATTCTATTCTTCTATCATAATCATCCTCATGGAGCTCTTGAAGAATCTGCATCTTATATGGATGAAATTTATGTAATTTCAGTGCTTTTCTCACAGTCTCGTGTGACATTCCCGTCTGTTCTGCCACTGAACGTAAGGAGCTAGTAGGTTCTGCAGCAAATGTTCCCAAAACTTCAATTTGAGCTTCTTCATTCAGTACTCTAGGATTATTCCTTTTTTTATTTTTCACCGAACCAGTTTCGTAAAACTTTTCCACCAAATCAAGCACATACCGGTGACTAACATTACAATCTGGATTTCTTTCATTGAAAAGAAATGCCGCTCTTCGTGCGCACTTTCCAGCCTCTCCATAAATCACAATCATTTCAGTTCTATTTGAAAGACTGTAAACCATTTTCACAATTATAGGTACCTACTCTGAATAAACGTATTACTGATTAGCTCAACAAATAAAATGTGAAGTTGTTACCTAATTTCCTGACTAGTTTTACTGAAAGGAGAATCAATTCAAAAATCTCTGTTCGAATACTAACCTGAAAATCATGCATCTTTGTGCAGGCAAGTTTAGATCACTTCTGTAGGTTTAGAACGCTATTTTTCAGAAATTGCTCGTCAAAAAATAGTAAAGTAGGGTACCGTTGGAAAGAGAATTGAACGCCCTTCGCCATTCGAAGTGTCCCCCTCGAAAATAAAATCGACCTGTCTTTTCGTTTTCCCATATTATCGACTTGGAGGGAGATATTGAGGGTGGGAAGTTTTCAAATTGACACCCTGTATATCAGTACACTGCGGCCGGCAGCTGGTCCCAGTGCTGGGTACCCAGCAATCATATTCAGTTCCCCGGCAAAAGGCCAGTACAACATGATCGACACATTGAGTTGTTCATAGCAAGCCCAGCATATACATAAATGATGGTACTGTAATGGCCAATTATCGACATTGGTTACATACTATCGAGGTAGAGGAGGGGTAGGGGTTTTAAGGGGTTCAATGGATCTGAAAGTTCTAGTAACTCTTTATTTCACAATATAACCCTCTCATCATAAATCAGACGCATACCAGATTTCAAGAAAACAATAATATGAATGATACAATGATATCTTCGTTCTTCAACGATGAAACTTCTCGGAGTGACTGCTTACTGGTTGGTATGTGTTATCTAGATCTTATTGGGTAGCATTCCTTCAAAGTTGATTCTTTGTTGTTTGTGAGGTACCTCTGAAATATAGAATGCATCATTAGTTATACAGGGTGTTTCGAAATTCGACCGACAACGCTTGACAGGTGATAGCCCTCGTGATTTCATAATCACTGAGATAGGGACAGACGGTCTTGAAGTGTTCAGTTCTCGAGATATAGGGCGTTGAAGTTGAGAAATTAAAATAGTTTTTTCTCGATATCTCATGAAAAATTGAATTAAATGCATTCAAATTCGGTATATGGTTTGATCTTCCAATGGTTAATTTTTTGACCAGAAAGACATTCCGAGAATTTTATCCAGAGGTGCGCTACAGAGGGTTGTGATAACTTTTCCGCACATATTTTCTACGCCACTGATGAAATTTCAATTATTTCTAATTTCTCGAATTGATTGTTCAATTATGTTGAAAAAGTGCATCACCTTCAACTAAGCTAAAATGAACAGTTATCGAGATATTTGACCCAAAATAGAAGTTTGCATAGTAATTTTTCATCTTCCTCAGTATTAGAAAATTACGAACATTTTTGTTCTCTCTTTATGCGTGGAATAACTATTTCTGTTCAGCTATAGCATGAGATCTGAATACTATCTAATCTACTCAACACCAGAAAAATATTTTTGCAATTTTCTACTACTGAAAATGATGAAATATTACTATGCAATCTTCTATTTTGGGTCGAATATCTCGAAAACTGTTTATTTCAGCTCAGTTGAAGGTGATGCATTTTCTGAACAAAATTGAACAATGAATTCGAGGAATTGGAAATAATCGAAATTCAATCAGTGGCGTAGAAAATATGGAAGGAAAAAATGCCACAACCCCCTGTAGGGCACCACTGGACAAAATGTCCGGAATGGCTTCCAGGTCAAAAAATGGCCCATTCAAAGATGAAACCATATACCAAAGTTGAATGCATTATATTCAATTATTCTTGAGATATTGCGAAACAACTATTTTCATTTCTCAACTTCAACGCCCTGTATCTCGAGAACTGAACACTTGAAGACCGAATGTTCCTATCTCAATGATTATGAAATCACGAGGGCTATCACCTGTCAAACGTTGTCGGTCGAATTTCGAAACACCCTGTATATTGGCCTATGAGTTGCATGACTTTATAACATGCATGATAAAATAGTCTGATTACGTGATAACATGGAGCTTTTTAATTCTCATTATTTTCTTGGCACAGGTATTTCTGTAGCTGAAACCTTATTGTTATTTAGTTCTTTAATATATATATAGAGACAGGTTCACATAACCTAAAGATTGCTTCCGATAGAAACAAACGAGTTAAAAATGTTAGTTGCTTTTGGAGAAGTATAGCCAACTCGCTAATTATTATGATCATTAGGTATATGAGGTTACGAGATACCAAACACATGCATTCAATAATAAAATTCGAAACACTATGTTGGTAGATTGATACTTACTCAATATTAGCATAATTGAAGAATCCGTCGTCAATTATTATCAATTGAGAATACTCCTGCCATCATAAATAACCAGGGAAAGAGAGGACCACATTAATTCGACAACAAACCAGAGAAAAACGAAACATACGCGATCATAGACAAACTAGTACGCGATCACCACTCACGAGAGTCAGCCATCTTAGTCACATATATGATATTGATCAGCTGATAATTGATGTAGACGTTCCCAGAACATCCACCAGGGGGCGAGTAGCGAACATGAAATTGGCCAGCAAAGGGCCAGATCTCGTTAGTATTCAATTAGTTCCAGACATCTTACCATCACAAGGCCATCATCGTATTTTTAACTGATGGTTACTTGGCATAAGAAAATCATCGGCCCATTACCAATACCCCGGCATCGTCACTTTCCCAGACTAGCCTGCACTAGGCCGGACTTCTCCCGCTAGTTCAATGTTTGCTGGGGATCAGCACACATAAATTATATGAGCATTAGATAAGCAATCCAAATTGGGAAACATTTTTTATTTCTGAACAAGAGGGTATATCAATATTAATTATTGGATGGAATAAAATTTTTTTTAAGAGATTTGAAAATTGGTTTGAAGCGGATTTGATTGAGATGTATTCGTGTGCTTAGACACTGATCATTAATTTGCATTTCTTTTGTTATCTCAAGATCCTCAAGGAGGTCCAGATGAAGATTGTTTCCTTTGACATTATGTAATAAATTTATATTTGTATCGAAATTGAAGTTATGATTTTCTGACTTTGAATGTTCACCAAAACTTGAAGAATAAGGTCTATTGATATGTTCACGAGCCCTGGTTAGAATTTTTCTAGAAGTCTTACCTACATAAGTGCAATTACAATCTGAACATGTTAATTTATATATTCCACTTTTGTCAAGAAAATTCATTTTGTCTTTTGTGTTGGCTAGCAGTGAACCCAAGCAATTCGACTTTTTGAAAGAGATTCTATTTGTTGATTTTTGTAGAGAAATATTTCGAAATTTGATTTGAGACTGAATTGATGTAAGGAATTGAAAAATAATTTGGGTTGATTTCTGATTGATGTTGACTATTGTAGAGACGGTTTCTGAACCTTCTGTAATTTGTTCTAGTCAGAATTCTCCCAATTATGTTAGGATTGTAACCATTATTAGAAGCAATTTGTTTAATGATATTCAATTCTTTGTTATAATTTTCTTTCGAAAGAGGAACATTCAAGAGTCTATTAACATAACAGTGATAAGCTGATATTTTATGTTGGTAAGAATGATGTGATTTTGCATGAATAGTTTGATCTGTTTGGATAGGTTTTCTGAAAATGTCAAATTCCAATTTTGAATTATTTTAAGATCTAAGAAATTGAAAAAATAATTTTTTTCTTTCGATTTATGGAATACAGATATTAAAATCACTAGACCTCCGATGAAACTCAACTTCATGTTTCAATTCAACATCTATTATATAGGGTGGAAGAAAATGCCAAGTAGAAGAAGTGCTGAAAGCTTTCTGTACTGCTCTGGATGAGGCTATCCAAGATGAATATGATACCGCAAGTCAAATTGCCGAAGAGGAATGGGAAGCAATCAGGCCAAATAAAGTTGAAAGAAGAGATTTTCTCCTGAACAAAGTCAAAGTAAATCGTACCAATTTGAGATACTATACAGGGTGTCCCGAAATCAGCCTGCCAAACTCCACCAGCTGCTTTTTTACGATCAAAAATTGGAAAACATGTTCATTGACATGAAACTTGACAAGAAATGTCTTCTAAGGGAGCTACGGCCCCCTGAAAGGAGTCTCCTGAAGATGATATTTCTTGAGTATTTCCGAAACACCTTGTGATAAGAAGTTGCAATTTGGTACAAGAACTTAACTCTCCATGCACAATGCAGAGAAAATAAAATCATTTGGAAATTTCACTCAGGAGTGTATAATACAAGGGGGGACTACATTGAATTTTGCTCAGAATTTTCTGTATACATATTTTTCGACAATTTAATATCGGATTATGAAAAACCACACATCTTTACAGAAAAAAGGTTCTCTTTTTCTGTAACGATCAGATGTATCATTATCGAATAAAAGCGATTTAAAAATATTGTTACATCGCAGATATGCATAACATTGCAATGAGTCGTAGTGGAAATGGAAAAAAATGCACAAAAATTTGAGCAATTTTTTCATCATAATGTTCCTACTTTTCGCGCTCTTATGAGATTTGTTTGGCGAAATAGCTATTTGTGTATTTAGAGCGCAAAGTGATAGATTGCCACTCGACAAAGAAAGTTACCGCGCGATGCGGAGCGGAGCGCGGTAATCTTTGGAGAGCGGCAATAACACTTTGTGCTCGAAATACACACAATATTTTTTCTACTAATGCAGCTTTTGGAAATAACTACCCTGAAAGTATGAGCGATTGGAATAGTTCTTATCCATATCATCCCATATGTCCAAAGGAAACAAAAAAAGAAAAATTTAAATAACTGACAAGCCAGAAAAAAATGTCGGGCCTACCGAGAATTGAAACTCGACCACCAGCGTGGCAACCTGAGCTACAGACCTCTGAGCCATAGTACGATAAACTCTGTAATCAAATTGAACATTACTCATTGATGCAATAAAATAAAGATACACTGTCTTTCTGATGACAACAAAGAGTTTAAATATAAAGTATAATTCATCGTTTTCAACAGATATGCTTCAGCGGGAGCTTCTTGTAGAAATTTGTTGGTGTATATTTTCAGCGGTGAATGTTTTGGATTTTTCTCGCTTCATATCCAATAGATTATCTCTTGAGAAATTCGATAAGTTTCAGATACTTATTGTTTCCGATATTATCTTTAACATTCAAGCATGTATACGTACCATCGAATATATAGACCAATGAGTTGATGACTTCAAAGTCTTTGATTTTTTACCAAAATGTAAAACGTTTTCTGAATACATATTCACCATCTCGGAGTAGCACCAATTTATGAATGTATCATACTGTGATTCATATTTCTTCCTTGATTTCTCCGGTAAGAGATTCAAACTCTTGCGCTTTCTGCTATATCATCAGGAAGGAGGTGTGTTTGATGATTCACTGTCACTATTTTCCATCATGGCAGAATTGGGGGTTTTCAAGAATAGATAAGTATAGGTTACAGAGATGTGCGAGCGTTTTTTCAATATTTCCGCTCACGAGCGCAAATGCTGTCAAAGAATGACATTTCTGGGAAAACGTCAACTTTGTGCTGGAATTTGAAAGCGTCAAAGGCTACTTAGAAATCGATTTCACTCGAAAATGATACATCTGATCGATACGGAACAATTTTACCTTTTTTTGTGAAACAGTGTGGAATGTCATAATCCGTGATTAAATTTTCGAAGAATATCCATGCCAAAAAGTTTGAGCAATATTTAATGTAGTCCCACCCTGTATTACACTCCTGAATGAAACTTTGGAATGATTTTATGTTCACCGCATTGGGTATGGAAAGTTTAGTTCTCGTAACAAATTGCATATTTTTATCACGTGGCGTTTCGGAAATATTCAAGAAATATCATCTTCAGGAGCCCTGTTTCAGGGGTCAAAGCTCCCTTAGGAGACATTTCTCGACTAATGTCCATCAGAACTTTTCTTCCTATTTTTAGCCGTAGAAGCTACTGGTGAAGTTTGGCAGGCTAATTTCGGGACACCCTATCTTTTCACATTTAGCTAAAGGGCTTTCACGCTGGGTTGATAGTTGCGCAATACTTGGTAACAATGTCGTGCCAAAACTGCACATCGAAAAATACTAGTAACTTTAGAAATGGGCGAACCGCGTTATCGATTTGAGTTGGCAAAACTGTAACTGTACACCGATGCAAGATTTATTTCACATTTCTAGAAGCGACTTGTTGTGATCAGCTGATCTCTGCGAATTATTCATTACTGACAATTTGTACTTTCAAGGAATTGTTTGTGATTCATTTGTGGATCATAGAGGTGAAATTCGATTTATTCAAAATGCCTAAACCATTGAGTGCGCAGGCGCAGAAGGTGGTCCATTACTTCCAATGACTGCTGTGTGAGATGTAAGTTGAATGATGGTATTAATAATGATATGTTGTGTTGTCCGAATGATCCAAATATGACTTGTGTTAGTTTATTGTAATGACATAGTGGTTTCATGAGTTTTTGTGGGTTCTCTTCATGAATTATATTGAGAATATTGAAGAAAGAACAACTCTTGTTGTCTATTTCATAATTTCCAATATAAGTAGATGCACCACTATTCAAATAAATGAAATCAATTGATATAAATAAAAAAATATAATTGAAATAAAATAAATTGATCGAATTTCAATTTCATTTCACCAATTTATAGTAATTGAAAAACATTCAAAACGATTAGATAGCCTCAAAATTGAATTCGAAGTTTTTATTATTTCCACTCAGAAAATGTGAATACTGATCAGTTTTATTTAAAAAAAAATTATTCAAGACATAATTGTGTATTGGCAGAAAAATAAGTTATTTTTAATGTCAATATCTGTGATTATTTGTTGATGTCGTTATATAATAAATCATTCTTCGAGTTATTATTCTTTATAAGAATTTCATTATCATTAAATTCTCTATTCAGTATATCGTTTAGGTATGCATTGTTCATTAAATACAAATATTGAAGTTCATTTGTCAACTTCGAGTGCTGATTTTGAAACATAAATGGACGGCTTTCGAGTTGGTTCCAAAAAACATTATAACGTCCAACGATCGAAACACTATATAGACATATCCAAATTCGGGCGGTTGGTCATTCAGTCATTTCCTTTCAACTGGCAACACTGTATGTGTTGACATATTGACGTCACTATCAACCCAGCGTGAAAGCCCTTTATTAAACCTACCATCATTTATTTCTTTTCGAGGCTTCAAAGTGTGTTTTTACTACCAACGTAGTAGTTTGCGTCATTTTATGAACGCACTAGTCAATAAAGACATAGCCACCTCTGTTGCAATTAATCCGAATGCACTGTTCTGATCAGAGATTCGCAGGAAATGGCACTGGAATATACCAAAATCTTTATTTACCAGTTGTTCTTTCCAAGTATGGCCAGAAGTCTCTCTTTCATGAAGGACTGAAAATTTATAATAATGTACCCGTCAGTATTAGAAACACACATGTTCAAAACCAAGCTAAAACAGTATTTACTTGCTTGAAATATATGCTCATCCGGATAAAAATTGTCCTTTGCGCGCTTGGTTCCTTTTTTCTTTTATCTAGTATAACATGTATTATGTAAACAAATATAATGTCCTTTTCATGTCCCTTTTTCTCATAGGCTGTATCAGATGAGTGTGAATTGTGTCTATGATGTTATTATGCTTTTCCACATTGATTTATGTATTATGTTTTTGTATGGTGCTTTCTACCTATATACGTACTTTTATCTTTACTTTAATAATTGTAAATATAGATAGCCCTAGTTCCTAATATAAGATTCACTGTAATCTTCTTGGAATGAATAAAGGCATATATATAATAACGACTTGTCATCTCCTGTCATGGTCATGGCCATGGCTACAAGATTTTAATTCGAATTGAAAATAAGTGCTTTCATAGTGACAACTTTTTTCCCGTCACAGAAAAAAATATGATTTCATGTTGACTAGAATCAATCTTTTTAATAAAAATGCATTCGTCTAAGAAGATACCAATAAATATTACTTTTTTTTTCTTCGATTAGTCCTGACTTTCTATGCCCCTCCCCCCCTTCATCGTCATGATCCGCCCCTCTAGTCGAACAACAAATCAATCATCCTATTTTCCAGAAATTCATTTCTAACAACGGAGTTTGTGACAACTGCACATTTTGGGAGATAAAAACAGGTGATACTTGGGGAGCAGAGTACCAGAGGTACGAGAAAACTTCGAAGACTCAGATTCTCCCTGTAGGAATATGGAGGCCAAGTGATGGAGCTACTATGACCGACGAATTGTTTTTGCATGCTGCTCACGGCTTCAGGGGCAAATTGTTACCAATGGTGTCATTTCATGTGAGTATTATAGTCATTCAGTAATCTTTGGTATTATATTCTATAGATATTTTCATGGACGATGCTCTTCTGAAATATCAACAATTGTTCCTTCCTTAGCAGTCCCCGCGAGATTAACAGCGAGGCTCTGGAACACATTGCCAAGGGGGGTGTTCTTCGAGGCATATAACCTCCAGATATCAAAGAAAAACAACCATTCCTACCTTATTTCTCTTGGTTCTCACGATGTTCTCTGAACATTACAGGATATCCCTTTTCGTGGGAACCAGAACATAAAAAAACACTTATTGAAATCATATTTATTTCGATCCTCTCGGGGTAGTTATATGTATATTCCTCAATAATATAAATATCCTCCAATCAATGTGGAAAGACAATGATTAATAATGTTGAATCGAATATTATTTGTAGACTATATTTTTGAAATGATATGGTCTCTGATAAGATCGTAGTCCCCAACAAACTAACAAATTCTCACATTACTTTCAGAACCCTCCATGGCAAATCCTGAAAGTCAACAGTTCTGGGAACGTCATCGAATACAATGGAATGGTTTTCGACGTCATGAGAGAATTGGCAAAAAACCTCAACTTCACCTTCAGCTTAGAAATCATCCAATCCCCGTTCACCAACAACGCGTCCGTATATGACATCACGGATTCGTTGACCAATCACATTCCGAGCTCGCTGGTGGATATGGTGAAAAACAAAACAGTAGCATTGGGCGCCTGCGCAGTCACCGTGACTGATCAAATGAAAAATTCCGTCAATTTCACTCTGCCTGTCAGTACGCAGACGTACACTTTCCTGGTAGCGAGACCCAAAGAGTTGAGCAGGGCACTTCTTTTCATATCGCCTTTCACAGGAGACGTAAGTATACGGAGTGTCCTTGAGAGATCGTCCATGAGGGTCCATGGCACATTGTCGAATGGACACGTAACGACAGGACTCTAATCTTCTTTCAATCAATCCGTCAATTTTACCCTTCCTGTCAGTACGCAGACCCCTAATAGCACACAACGTCCTAGGAACGTCCCTATTTGGTACAATTCAAGTCCAAATGTCCCGGACCAAAAATTAGTGTCCTTGGGGCGTCCCATCCCGTACAACTCATGCAATGTCCGAGCAAGGACGTCCACGGAATGTCCCAGCTGGTACATCATTTCAAATGTCCTAGAAATAGCATCCCTTAGACGTCCCACGTGGTACATATTGTAGAATGTCCATGCAAAGACGTCCTTGGCCTGTCCCTGATGAGATATGATTTTAAACGTTCCTTTAGGGACATCCATCGGATGTCTCGAGTAGTACATATTCTGGCATGACTTCAGATCTTATATGTCCCTTCTAGACAACCATGAAATGTCCCTGTTGGTACATTCCTCCAAATGTCTCTGCACAGACGCCCTCAATATTTCCAGGATCGTATAACAATCGAAATGTTCCTCAGGGACATTCTCCGATGTCCCCCAGGGATATCCGTCGGATGTCCCTCAGGGATATCCGTCGGATGTCCCAATTGGTACATGAACTGTACTCTTCCAATGTCCTAGAAATAACGTCCTACGGACGTCCCAGTTGGGATGACAAAAAAAACAGGTATCCCTGCGAGGGCGTTAACTTACACCTCGCCGACGAATGATTGCTCGTATGCTAAAAATACTCCCTGTCAATGTCCTTCACGTAAGTCCATTGGAAATCTTTGTAAAACTTTTTCAGGATCTATTGGGGACCTTCTACGGACCATCAACTCAAGTGGATGTCCTCATTAGTTATGCAAGATCTGGTCCTAGATAGGCACCCAGAAAAATTTCAATCGAAAAATAATTCGTACGTCCCTGGGACATCCTATGGACATCCAATTGATATCCCTTAGCGTTACTGATAGGTTGTCCTCCGTAGTGCTTGATGAGGAATACTGTAGGATTTAGGTATTCGATAGTTGTCCCAGGGACATCCCTCAAGGACATCCCTAGTTGGTCCTCAAGTGGAACATTTGTGCGTCCCACAGACGTCCAATGGACGTCCACCAAATTTGAACGTCCTATGGACGTCCTGAATGTCCCGACAGGACGTCCTAAGGATATCCATGGGACATAATTGTGTTATTAGGGACATACACTTTCCTGGTAGCGAGACCCAAAGAGTTGAACAAATCACCAAGTAAATCACTGTGTATATTTAATTCCTCATAAATGCGGCAAATTGACAATCAAAATTGACTTGCTCCGGGAGATTTCTAAGAAATTGATAGCATGAATAAAAATGACTATATCTTCTACTTTACAAAAGCACCCGATTTAGCGGACACATTGTATACAAATCATATATATATGATACAATTTTGAATTCAGCTTACCATGGAGATTCCAAATATTGAATAATATATATATATAGGGTGTTCCATTTAAAAAATTGAATCGGTTGTCATTACGCGAACGTGGATCACCCTGTATATTCAATTTCTTCTTATAAATACGATAAATTGAAAATAAAGATCGACTCATTCCAGGAGATTCCTCAGGAATGGATAGTTTGGCTGAAAATGAATTTATTCACTAGGTACTTTACGAAAGCACTGTTTGGATTTTATTCCCAAAACCGACAGTACAGGGTTCATAGAATATTATCGTGGAATATTTGACTATTCTCAGAATATTCCCAGAATTTTAGAAAATCTATGACCAAGGACATCCTCAGCATATTCTGAGGATATTCTGAACTCATTCGCGAAAACATTCTTGGATATCCATTGACCATCCATCATGTATCCATGTGTTCTGGACTCTGGCAATGAAATCAAATGCAATGGAAGCTCAGAAAATCGAAAAAATGGCTCTGTTATCAAACAGCGCTAGACAAAATGGCGAGCGACAAAATAGCGCGGAACAAATAGCGCGTGACAAAATAGCGCCAATAGAAAACAGCGCCGCGACATAATAGCGCCGATTGAAATAGCGCGTCATAATAATAGCGTGTTTGTGCTAATAGTGGCGTACTGATAATTGAAGCGCACTTCATAGAAAAGTAAAATCAGTAGTGAATAATAAACTTGCTCAACTTTATTCAAATCCAAAAAACTCTATTAACATCGACTAGTAACCTAACTACAAAGATAAATTGTACGCAATACAACGTAAAAAGTTTAGAACACTACCAAATCTGTATTGGGCAACCAGTACTTGTAATCTCTTTCTCAATTGAAAATATTTGCAATTGCATTTTTCGTTTGTCCTATATCCTGCGCGGTACCTCGTGATGAATATTTCAAAGTGGCTCTGTTCCTTCCTGATTTTGTCGAATAACTTGGAATGCGAAGGATGGTGGCATTGAAGAGTTTTTTGAAATGAATTATGCCATGCTTCCACCGAATTGTTGCTCCTGGGTAAGTTAGTGTTGATTCTCTCGCATAGGTTCCACATCTCAATCGGAAATCTTGGGGGTATATCATGCAGTCTACGGCCAACGTAGTTGTCTTCGAAGTAGTCGATAATTGGCTTTAATACCGCTGGAAAGCTGGCAACGATAACTTCGAATGCAAACTGGACGTCCTGTTCTGGAACATAACTCAAGGCTAAAAGCATTTTACATTGGATCCTTATTTCCTCATCATCTTTGTATAGCTTTGTTAATTGATTAGATTGGATATGCTTCCATAGATTTTGTGCAAAATGAAAATTGCAGCCTACTATTTTGGTATCAGGAAATTGATTATTTATTGTGTTGAGAACCGCATTCTCGAAATCACAGATTACACTAGTTGGTTTCAACGTTGGATCTATCTCTTGTAGTTTTCCGAAAAGTCTCTCATAACTCGATTGTTGTTTGTTAGGCAGCAAAGCATATATTAGAGGAATAGCTTTTCCGTATATCATGGAGTGAATAGTTAATAACTGGCAAAAATATTTCGGTGCTACACTGAGAGTGCCATCCAAACACCAGTTTCTAAATTCACTCAAAAGAAAGATATTTCCATAAGAAGCGAAAACAATAATTCTGTTCACATCTTCTGTTCCTGAATCCCACAACAGAAACTCTTCACCTTTCTCTGTTCGTTTATATTTCCCTTCAATCGTTACATCACGAATGCTGTTGCATGCACTGCTAACCAAAAGCTCCTTAATTGTTTCTCACACTTTGAATTGTTTTTCTTGCAGCACCATAATTTGGTAATAGTACTGATGCTTCCATCGATACTTGGCTAGTGCTGGCTTGTAAAATTTTCCTCGGACCATCTTCCGTCGTCCTTGCATGTTCTTAACATTTTCCATAATTCCAAAAACTTCGTTTTTAGCATCATTCGGACCATGACTATGGGACGTTGTCGGTTTTTTGGAGTCGCCGCAAACTATCAATCTACCTTTACAATATTTCTCCGTACATCTCCAGGTAGTGGAAGTGAGATGCACTTTGTCTTTTCTGTATCTGTATCCTTCATGGATAAAAATAGCACCTCCTTTTTTTGAACGAGAAAGATTCATCGTGACGTGACAATTCGTTCTGACGTTTTGAGCGCTATTTTGTCGCATTCCCAAAAGTCTGGGCGCTGTTTAAAACCACGCGATTTTGACCCTCTGTGAAATATCCTAGCGCTTTTTTGTCCCACGCTATTTTGTCGAGCGCCATTTTGTCTAGCGCTGTTTGATAACAGAGCCCGAAAAAATAGTGTAAACGCACTTCGAGAACATCTTTTTCGGGCTCATTATGTAAATTGCTATACATATAATTACTATTATTTTTCATTGCAGACTTGGATATGTTTAGCTGGATCTATAGTATGCATGGGACCAATACTCTATTATATACATAATCTGAGCCCAGTTTATGAATACAAAGGTATTCCAATGAGAGGTGGGCTATCCTCCATTCAAAACTGTATTTGGTATATGTATGGAGCCCTACTTCAACAAGGTTAGATATTTTTCATATTCTGCATTTTATTAGGCACCTGTATCTAACAGAATGATTTTCAACGAGAATGTATTGTATTGTATTGATACCAAAATGTGTCATTGTAGCTTCCGTTCAAATCTCAAGACAAAGACCCTTTTTTTAATCGACTTCGTTGTTTCACTTCGCTTCGTGAAGATGTTCTTATCAGAGTAACCTAAAATCTATAAACTAAGAGATTTTAGGAAAATTTCGTGAATTGATTCGCAGCTGGTACAAGACAGACTGTTTCTGCTTTGCTAAGCCTCATCATTTGCCATCAGCTGACAATCGATTCACGAAGGGTACTACTATATACAGTATGTCAGGACTAGCTTACACTATCTTTATATCAAGAACCAGTCGGGAGAAATCCATAAAAATGTGCATGCTTACATTTTAGAATACGCTCTCTTTATTTAAGATATTTTCGACAATGCAGTGTTGCCGCATCTACTATAGAAAGTAGTAGCAACATTGATATCTCAAATGGTACACCTTGTATTCTCAGATTTTTCCTGAAGAGCTGATTTTATCGATATATCACACTTGGGGTCTATCGAAAAAGATTACAGAGATATAAGTCGTTCAAAATCGAGATTTTTCAACTTTAGGATTTTTTTGTGTCGAAACTATTCATTATCGGTCAAAACGGCTCACATGTCCGTATCCCAACTTTTGATTCACTATTTACTGATATTTAATCGAAACAGATACATGCTGGTTCAAGATTCAGAATTCTGATCACCCTGTATCTGTTTCGATAAAATATCAGTAAATAGTAAATCAAAAATTGAGATTGGGACATGTGAGCCGTTTTAAAGTTGAGAAACCTTCATTTTGAACACCCTATATCCCTGTAATCATTTATGATAGACCCCAAGTTTGATGTATCGATGAAATCAGCTCTTCAGGAAGAATCTAAAAAGGCAATGGAATACAGGGTATTCTATTCGAAATAACAAAGTTGTTGCTACTTTTTGATAGAAGCGGCAACACTGCATTGCTGAAATTATTTCAGATGAAGAGAGCTTATTGTAAAATATAAGCATGCATATCTTCATGTATTTCTCCCGACTGATTCTCGATATAGAGATAGTGTAAGCTCGTCGTGACATACCCTGTATATGGAGTCAATTAATTGATTTATAGAGAGCCAAACTGAAAATAATTAGAAAATGGAATAATGAAAATGTTTTGATAAATACACAACATAACATATACTGATTACGGAGGTCTTGATATTTTCTATGTTGTATTTTTCAACACACTTTTATTATATCATTTTCTACTTCTTTTTAGTTTGACTTACTATAGAAGCGTGTTTTTCTTCAGTTCTTTGAACTAGGTATACATTTTCCATATTTTAGTTCGATACTTCCATGGGAAATGTTCTTCGGAAATCTCTGCTATCATCCCTTCACTAGCAATACCAGTCAGACGAACTAGACAAGCCCAGTCAGCACATCCTTTCGTTGTCAACTTCGAAAGATGTCGAACAGCACTTTATCAAAATTCCTTCATTTATAGAACGGCTAGGCTCTGGAATTCATTGCCTGAGGAAGTATTCTCAACAACATGTAATCTCCAGAAGTTCAAAAAAAAATCCAATACCTATCCCTATCCTCCCTAGGAACGCACGATGTTCTTTGAACATTATAGGGATCCCCTCCGTGCGCTCCAAGCGATTAAAAAAAATTACAAAAGCGTGTATTTTAGTTTTTCATATTTTTGTTAAGAACCGCCCGGCAGTAAAAGTGGAGAACTTGCTCGTCTGTTACCCTCCTTGGATTAGGTAGCCGTTTATCTGGAAACTTCATTTCATACGAGTACTTTGTACAAGACACTACCGTCTCTCCATAGATTAACGACTCCCCCTCTATTGATGTTACTATATTTTTTAAATATCATAAGTGTATACTTGATGAAAGACACTAGCTGCCGTGTCTCTGAATGTAAAAAAAATGCTCATCCTGAAGATCCTTATCAGGGTAATGGAACAAAACCATTAGGCTATGATATTGTCATCGGTCCTTGATATATGTGCAAAGTTTCAATTTGATTCGACGTTATGAAGTGGCTCAAAATCACACGTCTCTCTGAGTGTAGTTATTCATACGAGTACTTGGTACAAGACACTACTGTGTCTCTGGAAGTAAATACTTACTCGAAGGAATGAAAATTAACATTTAAATTTTTGGCTGCGGAACATTCGAAGTTTTGGTGACGAAACATCTTTCACCATTTTATTAGATAAAAAATAAATCGCTCATCCTCAAGATCCTGATCAGGATAATGAAACAAAACTATTATATTATGTTTTCCTACGAGTGTGGGGAAAAGTAACTTTTCTGCATGATCTTTCGTTTTTAAAGTTGTACTTTTCCGTACGATTTTTCTTTTGCGCATTATATTCACTTTTCCGCACGATTTCGAAGGAAATACCAGGGGACATGTGGTGATAACTATTGGCACCAGGACGTACCCATAGCAACAGACGCTATAAACTGACAGTAGTGTTGAACTTTAGCTCCTAGGAACTAAAAAGGATGTACTAGAGGTTATCAAGAATGAAAAACATTGTCACGGCTGGTTATTTGGGTTGGGACGCATACCTTATTTGTTTCCGCTTTCGGCAGATTTGGCATGCTGGAGATATAATTGTTTCTGAATAATCACGGCCAGCAATAGTTTTTTGTCTCAAACAACGGTATTGTTTACCTCCATTTAATTATCAAGCCATACACAGTGGAGAATGGAGAGAAATAAATAATCGCTATTATTATTGTTGATATGCTCACTAACCTAACATTTTCCACGTCTTAATCATATACCTGGCACTGGTGCGGTATTTGCTATTAAAACACCTGGTCCATGCACAAATATGCCACTCTGTGGTTGTATTTATATTGAAACTACAATTCGAACATCCTTGCAAATTCAATAAACCTGCTGTTACTGCAGGTAGAATATTCTCACTTCACGGATTATTTGTTGCATTGCATACATAATTATAGCACGGCATTGGTGGTTACTTCACATAATTATAATCATTTGAGTTAATTGTTTCGGTTGCAGAAAAAATAGCATGTTTCATTCGGGTCAAAAGTGACTTTGTTTGACTCGCAAATTTTGCTTTCGCTCGGCTTCGCTAAACGCTCCGCCTCGCAAATGCAAAATTCGCTTGTCAAACAAAGTGTCACTTTTGATCCTAATAAAACAATCTACTATTTTCGTGAAAAATAAAATCCTGTATGCACCACGAGCGTTACTAGATTCTAATGCCCATCGAGCAGCATCGTTACCACCGATACAACAAGGCCAGCAGACTCTGACGTAAACAGCTCGTGACGTCGTCAAGTGAGGCCAGTGTTTTATTTTATCAGTTGTCGACTAACGCGTCAGTTCGTGTTAATTCATCGGTGATTCACGTATGTTTTTGAAACGGTCCCGAATTCTTTTGTTGTTTATTCATCAAAATAATTGGCGGAAAAATTACTGTTTTGTGAAATATTTTGTGTTGTGATCGGCGAAATAACAATGCCTTTCAAGTGTTAATTGTGTTCCCTTTTGTCGGGGGAATTATGTGGGTGGTTCAAAAGTTAATGCTTTTAGTTTCCCGTTGGACGAGGAGCTATCGAAAATGTGGGTAAGTATATGCAATTCACCGCGAGGATTTTACTCCATCTAAGTATCTAAGTTCAGTAGTAAACAGAGCTTAATTTATAATGATGAATGAATAATAGAAGACAATTACTCTCTCATAAAAAGTATAAGTAGAGGAAAAATAGAAAAGCTTTGATTGTGCAGTTAGTTTTGTATTCGTATATTATAGTCAACAAAATCATCTCTGAATTCGAGGAAATTTTCTTGAATGTTCATAATAAACGGGCATTTTTAATTCTCATTCTCAAATTTCTTTCTGAAAACGGTCATTTGCCTCGTGGCAATGAATGCAGAATTCATTCCAATGATTAAATTGCAACTATCATATTAACATGGACTACAAACACTCTACTCAAAAAAGGTAAAACTGCATTTATCATGATATTTATCATGAAGATATTTGACTGAAAAGTTACAAATTTCACCTTCTTTTTCACCTGTCTTCTGGATGGCATTTAGAACAAATTTCCCTTCTTTTTTCATCATATTGGACAATTTATATATAATTCAACTATAAATATGATTTTCTTTAGATCAATCCATATTTAGTGAAAAGAAGGAAGAATATCATTCAAAATAATGGCGTGTGTAATGTCATTCGAAAGCAATCTATTGACATTTGACATCTCGTATTTTGATTGACTATTGATTAAATGGTCGTCATCTGGAATGCTTGTTCACTAAATATGAAAAACTCGCCATAAAAATCATATTTCCTGTTGAATTTTCTATATAAAAATGTGCCATCCAAGTACATCATGAGTATATAAAGTTTCCAATGACAAAATAAGAGCAAGTAGCTTCAAATGCCCCCAACACAAAGGGAGAAAGAAGACGAAATTTCGAATTTTTTCTTGAAATATCTCAATAAATAGTGGTTTGTTCACATTTTCATTATAAAATTCGGTTTATCAGACAAAAATACGTGAGTACCGAAAAAAATTTCCAAAAAAAAACCATCGCATGATAAATGCAGTTTTACCCTTAAAAATTACGGTTTCAAGTGTAACGATCCACTTGGGTGAAAAATCAATCAACAGAAAATTGGAAACACTCACCGGTTATTTTTTCAGGTAATAGGAATTCTCCAAGATAAATATAGGTAATTGTAACAAACGGCATGTCAATCAAAATAAAATACATTTTCCACAATTTTCTTTCGATCAATCTCACGATAAGTTTATGTTCTGCGGGCCCTGTATAAGTAGGTGTGAAGTTTACCTTCACCACAATGTTTGCCAATATATTTAATTCGAATGGGTTGCTGTAGGTGGATATTTGTGTTTTATCCTGGTTTTTGCTTTAAAACTTCGTTTTTCCATAATAAAATCGAATGGGGTGCGAAGAAGGGCTCAGTTGACGACTGGCATCCTTTTTTAACCGGAAGCCCTTCAAAAAACAGCAAAATCGGCTCAATGATGATCTAAAACTAAAATCGAAATACGCGGTCGCCTTATAGCGCTATAAGCGCTTGTTGTTTCGAGCCGCTGGTTAGGCCTCACTAAGTGACGTCACCCACGGAGCATGCAGGCCTTGTTGTATCGGTGGTAACGGCAGCATTCATCCCTCAGACCAAGAGCTCTCGAGTGAATGTTGATGCCCTCTAGGCGTTAGGGTCTGCACTTGGTTCAGTCGTCTTCAGAGATCATGTCGCGGTTGGACGGTGTCAGCGCTCTTATTGCAGGAGTTATGAAGAATGCTATCATCGTCCATGTTTTCTGAAGACGACTGTACATAAATTACTATTATATTACAGGTGGTATGCATCTCCCTCACGCAGATAGTGCAAGAATTCTTGTGGGCTCTTGGTGGTTGGTGGTTCTAGTGATCGCTACCACGTATTGTGGGAATCTCGTTGCTTTCCTCACCTTTCCCAAAATTGATATTGCGATAACCACTGTGGAAGAATTGGTCGCTCACAGAGACACAGTGTCTTGGAGTTTTCGCGAAGGAAGTTTTCTGGAACATGAACTCAGAGTACGTATAATACACTCAGTTCCAAAAAAAGTGACGCACTTGATATTTGACCTATCTTCTTAAAATTAAAAAAAAATAGTAGGCTGATTTTTCTTTTTCTCTTTATTTGTTGGTAGGTAATGCATTTTAATAATGATAATAGTAATACTAGTTTTTATTGACAGTCTTCAAAATTAACAGAATAAACAAACATAGATATTTATATAAACAGACTGGTCAAAAGGCAGAGTTCAGTCTAGTTAGAGGTCACACGAAGCGACATCTAAAAAGCCTGCGTTTCCACTCAACCTCATATAGTGATGAATATAAGATCATCCCACTGAAAATCATGAAATTTTACCCAGAAAATGATAACAATATAAAAGAGAAAAACTTAAAATTGAATACATCAAATACATCAGTGATATTAACTGATAACAATATGAAAGAGAAAAACTTAAAATTAAATACATCAAATACATCAGTGATATTAACTGACACTTAATATTCATTATATTTATTCAGCATGAAAGGATAGACTATTTCATAAATGATCTATTCTGGTAGAGTTAAAACACCACTGAATACATCGTTTTTGAGTTCTCTGGTAAATCGGTATTGGTTCATATATTTATATTTCTCAGGAATCCAATTGTACAGTTTGCTTACGTTATACGAAAAAGAACCTTGAAATGCATGCGTTTTATGTTTTGGTATTGTTATTTTATTTTTGTTACGTATATTATTGATGTTATGTATATCGGTTCTGAAACGGATGTTATTATACAAATAGGGTGGTTTATGAGACTTTATGATGGAATGAAAAAGATTACATGCATTGAGTGTTCGGCGTTGTTTTGTGGTTAGCCAACCAATGCCTCGAATATGATTGGAAATATGTTCTCTTCTTCTGACCCCGCAAACCATTCGGGCACAAGAGTTCTGAAGCTTTTGTAAGCGTGCTGAGTCTGATTGACGGATATTTGGACCATAAATGGCATCACCGTAATTGAGGTGCGACAGAACCAAAGCATTACAAAGTAGTATTCTAGAATTTTTGTTAAGCATTTTTTTATTTGAATATATCAATCTCAGATTATTAAACTCTCTACGGATTATCATGGAAACATGAGAGGAGAATCTGAGATCTGTATCAATTATTCAACCCAAATTCTTACAGGACTCTTGAATTGGCAGTGTATCACCATTAAGAGTGATCTGTATACGATTTGCACAACGTTTTCTCATGACATTTCTACCAAATAACATTACATTTGACTTGAATGCGTTGATTGTTAAACCTAGCTTCTCCGAAGAAAAAAGCAGCGATTCGAGGTCACTATTTATGTGTATTAATGACAAATCTAGATGACGTTCCTCAAATTGATAATATAGCTGAGTATCATCAGCGTAGAAGTGGCTAGAGGGCTAGAGCAATGTTCCATAGATTTAACAAGTTGACTTGTGTAGAGAATAAAAAGTAAGGGACCCAGAATGGACCCCTGAAGAACCCCATTTTCTACTTCAATCCACTCAGATTGTGCTTTTTCAAGGATTACTCTTTGGAAGCGATTCGTTAGATATCCATTAACTAAAAGACAGGCTTTATTAGAGAACCCTAAATATTTTAGAATACTCACCAACAAAGCATGATTTATCCTGTCGAAAGCTTTGGAGTAATCAAGCAGAATCAACACACAAAGTTTATTCGAGTCAACCGCGTGGAGAACGTCATCTATCACCTTCAAGACAGCAGTAACACAACTATGTGCCGGTCTAAATCCAGACTGACACTCTGGTAAAATACTGCTTTAAAAAAAAATAAAGATGCGAGAATTTTTTCAAAGCCTCCTTGATGGTGCTGGAATAACTCGAACCATGATTTATTCTTGATTTTTGACTCACCCTGTGTGTTAATTGAGTAATGGTATATAAAGTGCTTACACCCTATACGAAAGAGGCTTCTTTTGCGAGCATTTTGTTTTTTTATCCATTGATTTATCTCTAAAATTATCCGAATCACAGCTTTTTTGCTGATACCTCAGGCTTATCCCACAAATTAAATTTATTGAAGGATCAGAGTACTCAAAATTGATTGGGTTTTACTCTGGTACTCTGGTCACATTGTCTTTAAAAAAACAAATGCCGTTGCCATAGCAGCTAATTTGTTGTATGCCTCCATATTTGACCATTTGTCGTTGTGTCATCTTATGTTCATGAATGCGCTGATTTAACGTACGACCTGTTTGACCGATATATACCTTAGGACAAGATCCACAGTTGAGTTTGTATACCCCTAATTTTTCGAATTTAGGAGTTTTGTCTTTATTATTTTTGATAAACCTTCCCCTTACAATAATTGCTGTTATTTTTAGGTTGCCAGTGCACAGAGATATCAAATGGTTTACGAAAAAAGGTCAAGGAAACTTGAAACCAGCATCGACAATTTGATTGGGAGCGTTGAACAAGGGAAACACGTCTTCATCGATTGGAAAATGAAACTTCAGTTCATTATGAAGAAGAGGTTTTTGGAAACTGGGCGGTGCGAGTTTGCTCTAGGTATTCGTAAAACATGTAGAACCTACAATAGAATTATTAACTACCGAAAGAAATACCACAAACTCAAACTACTTCACAACCCAACACCTTCTTATGATCTATAAAGCATATCCCCCCGTTTCAGAATACTGTTTCCACGTATGGGGTTTCAACACCCAAATATGCGCTGATGCTCTTATTCACCTGATTGTTGATGCTACACTCACAAATTCCTTGACATCATTGGAATATTATTAGGGAAATCGGCGTTCCACGTGAAATGTTCTTCAGAAATCCCAGCTTTCATTTCATTACTATAGCAATACCAGCCAAACTAAAACACTTTAGTTCTGTGATCATACTGAAGCTGTGACTGTCATGTGTCAATTAGACCAAGAACTCAAATAGCCATGACTTTAGATAAGGACACATTTTTTGACCAATCAAAACAATTCCAGCTATGGCGAACGATACGATAATAATAAGGTTTAAATATTTCAAAACATTGTAATGTATACTGAATTTTCAATATCTACTCGCAATATTTCTTCCTAACTTCATGCAGTACAATCTTCCCATCAAAATGAATGTCACTTAAATTCTCACTCGGTTTTGTAGTTATTCACAATTTCACCTGGAATTTTATACTCGAATTTCCTTTCAGTTTGTTTGACAACTTAACTCCTCTATAAAAATTTTAGTAATATGCTGGATGCTGGACAATGCTGAATATACACGGTGAAAGGCATCATTAGTTCTTCAATGGAAATGGAAATCTGAATTAATGAAAGATGTTGATTCTATGGGGAAGACCACTGAGGGAAGAAATCCGTGCAAACCTCTTTCAATCGACGAATCATGATTTACGTTTGATCTACAATCAATATTATGAGTTGAAGTTGATGGAAATCGAATCTATATCGTTTCGAAATCAGCATATATTATTTCATTCGTTATTTCGAAAAGCCAAATATGATGGTGGAGCTGTGACGTATCAGTCCCGTACTGTAGCTATTTCTCTCTGATACCTCGTCATTCTGCAGTGTTGCAGTTTGATTGGTGAGTTCAAGGACAATAGGCGTGTTGGGACTAAGACGTCGCACCAGTCTCACCAATGAATTGACAAAATTTCAAATGGCGCAGGAATTGTGTGTTCAGAAATGGACATATTCTAATTTATTTTTTTCATCGTCTCAGCATGAATGAAAAAATTCAAAATTAATTCACTGGTAGTTTTTCAGTATAGAGTTCACGATATTGTCGTTTCAAAAAATCAGTGGTCTCCCCCATTATATATATCTCGCACATAAAAATACTTGCTATATAAAAGCTTACTTCTCACCTTAGGTGTATAATATACTATTTTACACCACTAATCTGAGAAATCAGGATTTCCTCTAATCTAACTTTTGAAACCTAGGTGAATAATACTCTAGGTTCATAATATACTATCACTACGCCAAGGTGTATATTGATATTTTTCACCACTAGCAATATATTTCAATCATTATAGGTACCTATAGTGCTGTGAAACTGGCCCATAGTCACTTTGAAAGCACTTATTTTTCATTAACATTAATATTATAATCAAAATATATAGTGGCTATGACCATGATGACAGCATATGTCGTTATTGATAAATAAAATATCTACATAGATTCGAGTGCCATTCCTGCGAATCTCGTATCAGAACAGTGAATTCGGGATAATTATAACAGAGCTATGTCTTTATTGACTATAGTAGTTCATGAAGAATGAAGAAAACTACATTGGTAGAAAAAACACATTTTATGCGCCTTGAAAAAGAGTAAATAATGGTACTTATAGGTTTTATAGCTAGTGGTGAAAAAAATAGTAAAGTATAGTATAGTATATCATGGTATATCTATCTATCTATCTATCTATCTATCTATCTATCTATCTATCTATCTATCTATCTATCTATCTATCTATCTATCTATCTATCTATCTATCTATCTATATCTACTAATATATGCTCTCTCACTTGTTCTAGGAACAGAGGACTTCTTCGAGGAAGAACTTTCATTAATCCTTCCTCAGGGCTCTCCATATTTGCCAAGGATCAACGAAGAGTAAGTATACCATAAAGATTAATGAAAAACGCTGAAACGCCTCGATTAATAATTAATAAAGTTGAATGTCTTATATATAGGGTGTTAATGAAAAGCTTGGAAAATTTGGAGTATGTATAATTTGTTGTTTTATAATCCCCCTGTATATATGAGCTTTTATGATGGTAAGATTCAGTCGGGTACCTACTTCATCTCAATGTGTGTCTTGAGAGCACCTTCATTAAAATTTCGAGTCAAATTCAATATTCATTGTTGCCTCAAAAACTACGTGAGATATAGAGGGAGCACATGGAAATAGTTATTTACCTAACAAGTGCGAAAAGAAGTACTATTCCGCACGCGGAAGCAGTTGCACGAAAGAGGCGAAGCAGAGTTCGGGCTGTCAGAGGTGCAAAAGCCTTTTTCCGCATGAGTTAGGTACAATATTTTTCATATGAGCGTTTTGTCCATATTATTTATGAAAAAAAGGGTTTTTAATAAAAAAGATTTTATAATAATGCTACAAAATGACACATAAGACAGAATAGTTACATAAATTATTCAGCTAATCCTAAATATCCTGATTTCCAACAATACAAAACTTGTGCGAAAAAGTAATAATCGTGCGGAAAGTACAACTTTCAAAACGAAAAATCGTGCGAAAAAGTGTTTTTCCAATTTTGTTATCTGATAAAAAATGGGACGGAAACCAGTGGCATACTATAATATCATTAATTATTTTTTTATTTCAAAAGAAATACCAATACATTACTTTAAACGCAATATCTGAATTCTTCATAGAATCCTATGAACATTTCTTCGCAAATGTACACAAAAATATTTTCAATCATTATTAAATTAATGAAGTGTTGATTGATTTATTCAGTTAATGTTTCAAATATTTTAATTTCAGTTTTTGTTCATTGATGTTTCGAATTTTATTCATGTTTTATACAACAGTTCAATGGGCGAGTGGACTGATAACTGATAATGAATTATTGACATTAAATCGCTCCACTGTGTCGTTAGGAACCTGAATTAGTTTTTGAAACACTTCTGACGCTTTTTTCATGTAAATAATTAGTCTATGCGTTGTTCAAAATCGTTGAATTTCAGAACTCATATCAAACGTAGGTACCGTCGTGGCCGCCTTATCGCGATACGTCGAATAAATTGTGACGTCAGTTTTTATGCTGTTTCCTTATTGGTCAGATAGTCTTCCATTCCCACTCATGTAGCAAGGTTGTCAAGTCATCTATGCATGGGTTGTGTGCAAGAACTGTCAGATGACCGACTCTGGAGGAATAGAATAGAATAGAATTTATTGAGTACCAATAACAGCATGCGATTACAGAGAACTATAATAATTGTGTGTGGTACAAGTCGAATTTCCGAAAAACCTAATCCATTAAAAAAAAAAAAACAGGTAAGACAGGACAGAAAAGACCTTTCAGAATATGTATGATGTGGCCAATGCGCAACGGGGCGACTTTCATTGTGCTGAATGAAGCATGGTGCATTTGCTTTGCATCCGCAGGAAAACCCGATAAAACCCACGGAACCATGCCATATTCTGAAAAAGAATTTACTGGTCCCTAAACAAGCATAAATCGAGGAGAAAAATACAATGTAACAGAGGCTTTCAACTCCATTAAAAAATGTCAACTAAATGAATGTCATTTGATGTATATCTTCCAATCGATAGGGCTCTGCAGTGACTAATAATTTGTTAATTGATTTCTTAAAAATATAAAAAGTTTTAATTTCCTTTATGTTGTTTGGTAATAAATTATATAATTCTGGACACTTATAGAGACATCCTTTTTCCATGAGCGAGGTTGAATGGGGAGGATAACAAAACATGTATTTATTTCTAGTTATACAGGGTGTTTCGAAATTCGACCGACAACGCTTGACAGGTGATAACCTTTGTGATTTCATAATCTCTGAGATAGGGACATACGGTCTTGAAGTGTTCAGTTCTCGAGATATAGGGCGTTGAAGTTGAGAAATTAAAATAGTTTTTTCTCGATATCTCATGAAAAATTGAATATAATGCATTCAAATTCGGTATATGGTTTGATCTTCCAATGGTTAATTTTTTGACCAGAAAGACATTCCGAGAATTTTATCCAGAGGTGCGCTACAGAGGGTTGTGATAACTTTTCCGCACATATTTTCTACGCCACTGATGAAATTTCAATTATTTCTTATTTCTCGAATTGATTGTTCAATTATGTTGAGAAAGTGCATCACCTTCAACTAAGCTAAAATGAACAGTTATCGAGATATTTGACCCAAAATAGAAGTTTGCATAGTAATTTTTCATCTTCCTCAGTATTAAAAAATTACGAACATTTTTGTTCTCTCTTTATGAGTGAAATAACTGTTTCTGTTCAGCTACAGAATGAGATCTGAATAGTATGTAATCTACTCAACACCAGAAAAATATTTTTGCAATTTTCTACTACTGAAAATGATGAAATATTACTATGCAATCTTCTATTTTGGGTCGAATATCTCGAAAACTGTTTATTTCAGCTCAGTTGAAGGTGATGCATTTTCTGAACAAAATTGAACAATGAATTCGAGGAATTGGAAATAATCGAAATTCAATCAGTGGCGTAGAAAATATGGAAGGAAAAAATGCCACAACCCCCTGTAGGGCACCACTGGACAAAATGTCCGGAATGGCTTCCAGGTCAAAAAATGACCCATTCAAAGATGAAACCATATACCGAAGTTGAATGCATTATATTCAATTATTCTTGAGATATTGCGAAACAACTATTTTCATTTCTCAACTTCAACGCCCTGTATCTCGAGAACTGAACACTTGAAGACCGAATGTTCCTATCTCAATGATTATGAAATCACGAGGGCTATCACCTGTCAAACGTTGTCGGTCGAATTTCGAAACACCCTGTATAAGTATTCACATTAACATAATTTTTGAACAGGTGCTTGTTTTTATAGACAAAATTAAGACATTCAAGTAGGTACATACACTGCAGGTAATGTTAATAAACTACTCAAAACTAATTTCGTCGCACACCAAAATGTCGCCCCTGTTATAATGTGAATAACTTTTTTCAGTTCAAAACAATTTGAATTTGGTTCACACTGTTCGATAGCCCAGTCCTTTAGCTATAGGTAATCTCGTACTTCATTGAAACATAAGGGTATTCACATAAAATCTCTACATGGTGTTTTCCGACACTGTGCGAAATTTCGGAATATTCAAAAGGCTCTCAAATGGTGAAACTATCAAAATCTGTTTATGATTCGAAAACGACGTCTAACCTGACTTGTCAGTCACTTACTGTGATGCTTGTAACGTTGGTTACGGGCCATGCATTACAGGGGAGAAATGGTCTGATGTTTTTGCAGGAACATGTTTCAATTGTGTTTTCTCACGCACATTCTTGAGTACTGAAAGCGAGGAAAATATGGACGCATCCAGAATGAATTGTTTTTCCGAGAACAAGTTGATTTTCATTCAATTCTCCTCCCAACCAAGATTCGCAGGGCGTTCCAGATTTGGGTCACTTTCAAGAAAGCTCTAGATCTTTGATAGCCATCTTGAGTCAATTCTGATATTCAGATATCTTCATCTGAAGTTTTATCTTCAAAATGAGCCTAAGATTTCCAAAATCGGTTGACTTAAAAAAAAGTTATGGCTGCAAAACCAAAAAGTTGATTTTTTGTGATCACCCTGTAAATAAGAGAGATAGGAAGTTGATTCGCGAAATATCTCGAGGTAATGAGATCATCTTCATGCCTCTGTTGTCGAAGTTGAGAAAAAAATTTTTTTCTACCATTTGAGAGCCTTTTGAATATTCCGAAATTTCGCACAGTGTCGGAAAACACCATGTAGAGATTTTATGTGAATACCCTTATGTTTCAATGAGTTTATAGCTAAAGGACTGGGCTATCGAAAAGTGTGAACCAAATTCAAATTGTTCTAAACTGAAAAAAGTTATTCACATTATAATAGGGGCGACATTTTGGTGTGCGACGAAATTAGTGTTGAGTAGTTTAGTTTTAAGTTTCTGAAATGCCCCCTACAAGAGTCACCAATTTTCAAGCCACATAATATTCTGGTTGCTCTCTTTTGAACAGTAAAAACCTCTTGATAATGTGAACCCCCCCAAAATATCACATTGAAACACAACCTCACTTTTCTTATTTGTTTACAAGTGATTGAAATAGTTTCATTCACAACCATATATGTAATGTTGTCATTACTAACGTCGTTGAAGGTTGGGAAGTGTCACATTACACACCTCTACTTCCCGCCCTCACTTCCCGCCCCTCACTACTTCCCGCCCTCACTTATGTAATAATTCAGGTATGTTCAGAACGAAACATAGATTTATTAATTTTGATCGAAATATGATGGTTGTAAATAAAATAGTATACAAACCTCAGCAGGAAGTTTCATTCCTGTCTCGAAATTATAGCTAACCTCGACGCTTTGCGTCTCGATTAACTAACCAATCTCACGACAGAAATGAATCACTGCCCACCTCGGTGTGTAATATACTATTTCACAATTATTTTGGCATACAAATCGTATTTTTCGACTATTCATTAATTAGCTCATGCTATCACATTGTGCTGTTGTACAATGGACAAAAACTGCAGCAGAAGACGAAGGAATCCTGTTGGTACATTATATGATTTGAAAGTAAGTACCTACTATAGTCACTCACATAAAGTTTTCATTTTTGAAATTCCATAATTTCTCTGATTCCTCATCGGAATTCCTTCTGCAATAGGAGCTAATAGAAATACACGTGAAATTTTTAAAATGATGCAAGAAGATTGGATTCATGCAATCAAACGGGAGGGCCTGGTCTGACATGCTGACGAAATATGATCATGTGTGTTGTAGACATTTCCAATCTATTAGCAGTATTAGCTTGTATTGCAGAAGTGATAGAAAGAATTTCAATAAGGAATGACAACATTTCATAATGATCACTGTGAGATTACTATTTACCTGAAAAATCATATTCTTTCGTCTCTCGCTGCATTTTTTGTGCATTGTTCAACAGCACAATGCGAAGGCATGCTCTAATTAATGAATAGCGTAAAAAACACGATTCGTATGCCAAAATATTGTGATAAACAACTTCAATCCTTTGATTCCTCTGTAAACAAATCAAAAAGTGAGGTTGTGTTTCAATAATTCACAAAAGAGTGAGGTTGTGTTCCAATATTTTACCTCCAGGGTCGGTCATCGTGTATCACGCGACCTATTATATAATCAAGTTATCAAATCGATGTTGGAGTCCTCTGTCATTGAATGAAACATGATAGGATGAAGCTTTGATATTATTATAGTTCATTTTCGACTATTGTCCGAATATTTCCTATACTTCATAACAAAATATCATGTAAATGTTGGAGACTTGGCAACATTGTGCTGAATGCTGAGAATTGACAATAAGACACCGCCCACAATTCGTGCGCCGTGTTGTCACGTTTACCAGTTCGAATGTCCTCTAGTGAGAATTAATATAATTATTATTTACACAAATGTATTACAAGCAATAAGCCACAAAACATGAGGATACATTTTGAGATAATTAATTTTTATTGCTAATTAGGAATATCACCAATACATAATTGAGAATTTATGAATTATTGAATAATTAATATTTCCCAATCGTATTGCAACATATGTCAACTGTGCTATGGTCTGCCCCTACTTACGGAATCGTGACGTCAGTTTTTACTCGCGGTAAATTTCTAGCCGTTCGAAAATTACAGTGGCATTATTGATTATTTTAGCACCTCAAAATCGACCGAAAAATCCTGAAAAAATATGAAATTGAAAGGTATTTGATTGATGATTATATTCAAGAAATAAAAAAATGAGTCCATCCGCCTATCGTTGAATAATTGGAAAACGAACACTTTACAATCACTCTGTACAATTACTCAAACTGATCAATGTTTTTCACGAATTTTCTCAAATTATGTTCTTGTCAAATCATCATAATGTCTTCAATGTCTCTTTTTGTAGGATAAAAAAACTTCACCAAGTGGGTCTCATTCAAAAATGGCTGCAAGATTATTTACCCAAGAAAGATCAGTGTTGGAAGAATCGCCATCTAGTAGAAGTTAATAACCACACTGTTAATTTGGATGACATGCAAGGAATCTTTTTCGTATTATTTCTAGGTTGGTTCCTAAATCACATCAATACAAATTCATCACCATTCGTTATACATATACTTACATAAATAAACAACTCAATTGTAGAGGTAATATTTTGAATTTGGAATTGAGTAGTGCCCAGCCAACCACGAGAGGTATAATATATATATCGGGTGGTCACAAAAAAAACGGAAGTTTATATTTTCCTCGTGGTTTCATCATTTCTCAACCGAATTCGAATTTCTTAGCGTCGTTTCACAGCTAAAGGGCAATAGTATACAGTGGGATATTTGAAAACTCCATAATGATCAAAAACAAAATAGAGGATAAAGTATCGTCATTTACAAAAACCGCTGGAGAAAAAGAAAATCAGATTTTTTCCAACCTGTACCGATGTCATCTTAGGCTATTCATTTCTGAAGAGAATGAGTACTCGAACATCGAAATCGAACGAATAGTCCAGTAGATACACTCATTTCTTTGCAATTTGTTATGGAGTGAATGTGCTAATCTCGTATAAACGATTATTATTATTTTGCTTCAGGTTTCATGAAAATTCAATCGAATTTGGATTTCTTGGAGTTATTCAAAGATAAAGAACTGTAGTAAATAATGGAACATTTGAAAATCTAATAATTGAAAGAAATAAAATGATGGAGAATCCAGAATTTTAGTGATTTTAAGAATCTCTGGCGAATAAAAAAATGTTTATTCTTCCAATCAGGACCGATACAATTTTAGATCATTGATTTGTGAAAAGAATGAGCACTCGAACATCGAACAATTAGTCCAGGAGAAACACTTTCTCTTTGGCAAAGTGAAAGTGAAGTGAAATCCAAATTCGATCGAATTCTGATGAAGCCAGAAGCAAACTAAAAGTAATTCTTAACACGGGATTGGCACATTCACTCCATAACACTTTGCCAAAAAGAACGTGTTTTCTCCTGGACTAATTGTTCGATTCAGATGTTCGAGTGCTCATTCTTTTTAGAAATCAATGATCTAAAATTGTATCGGTCCTGATTGCAAGAATAAACATTTTTTTATTAGCCAGAGATTTTTGAAAATCACAAAAATTCTGGATTCTCCCCCATTTTGTTTCTTTCAATTATCAGATTTTCAAATGTTTCATTGTGTACTACAGTTCTTTATCTTCGAAATAATTCTTAGAAATCCAAATTCGATTGAATTTTCATGAAGCCTGAAGCAATAAAATAATAATAATCGTTTATACGAGATTCGCACATTCACTCCATAACAAATTGCAAAGAAATGAGTGTATCTACTGGACTATTTGTTCAATTTCGATGTTCGAGTACTCATTCTCTTCAGAAATGAATAGCCTAAGATGACATCAGTACAGGTTGGAAAAAATCTGATTTTCTTTTTCTCCAGCGGTTTTTGTAAATGACGATACTTTGGTAGAATCCTCTATTTTGTTTTTGATCATTATGGAGTTTTCAAATATCCCACTGTATACTATTGCCCTTTAGCTGTGAAACGACGCTAAGAAATTCGAATTCGGTTGAGAAATAATGAAACCACGAAGAAAATAAAAACTTCCGGTTTTTTTGTGACCACCCGATATACACTCGTAATCAGAGAACATTTCACGGTTGGACAGTATCGCAGCTGTGATTGTGAGAGCTGACACCGTCCATGGTGTTACATGTTCTCTGGGGACGAGTGTACATACACACAACAATGAGGCGATCTGAGAATGTCCGACTCAAGGAACATTATTTTGACGTCAGCGTCGGCTGAAACCTCGGGATATAAACTTTTGGTCCCATAATATTGATTTCCTTCGTCCTCGTATCAACGAGTAAGTTCAATGATTATGAAATTGATCATTAATGATCCCTATTAATGATCAATTTGTCTATCAATGCAGGATTGGCAACCAAACATACACCGCGTTTATGCACTGTTTATGCTATAACTTACGTCATCTGCATTCAATTTTAAAACAATACATAAGGAAATACGAGAATTTGAAACATTCAGATATGCCATTTATGTGAATATTGAAAAGTAGGGGACCTAGATGTGAGCCTTGAGGGACACCCGACGCTATATTGACTGATCTTGAAAGATAATTACCAATACAAACTGTCTGTTTACGATTACTTACGTGAGATTGAAACCAATTCAGTAGTCAAAATAGGTGAATTCAAGGTAGCGGATCATCTTCACAATCATAATCTTCAACCCTGAAAACTCTCAAATACCAATTTTGAATAGAATCGGGTCATATTCACGAATTCCGCCATATCGGATCCGCCATCTTGAATTTCCTAATAGTACCAGTTCGTCTCATGGTTCTAAGCTACCTCCCCACCAATTTTCAACCACATCGGTCCAAACAAAGATAATATTGGTATAGATTGGTATAGATTGTATTTGAATTCAGGGAATAGTATTCCTACTTTATTGAATATAAAAAAATTCTCATTAATACACAAACTGAAAACACTGAAATATGTTGTTATTATATTATTTCATTGTAACATTTCTTTATTTTCCAGGGTTTTCACTCTCTTCAGTTTTGTTGATTATCGAAACAGTTTGGAACAAGCACTTCCGGAAAAAACAGCTGAGTATCATACAACCCTTCATGACTTGAAAGAATTGAAACCATATGTGTTCGTAATAACTAAATACTTGAATATGTGATTTCTGTATGGGGATCCACTAAAGTATCAATTATGAAGCCTCTCAAAACGCTTCAAAATAAAATTATCAAATTTATGTGCAGACTAAATTATTTGAAACCTACTATGAACCTTTACAGAAGAAGATTCACTATATAAATTCAAATTAATTCATACAGTTAAACATTGTTGAAAGCATTCAAATTTGGTTTTCAAAATTGATAGTAGTCACCACAACCATACAACTAGACAAGCAGAGTATTCTTCTGTCAAGAAAATCAAATCAGATATTGGTAAAAAATCCATTTATCACAATGGAATGATACAATACAATTCACTACCAAATAACTTGAAGCTGATTAATAGGATTGAAAAATTTTAAAAGGAATTCAAGAAACATCTACTCCTGTAATATTGACATCTTATCTCATTTTTATAGTTTTCTCGTACAACTACTATAGTTTTCCATTGGGTACCTAACAGCTGTGTCAATTAAGAATCATTTTCAGTAAAACTTGAAAAAAAGTTTTTTTCTTGAGTGTGAGTCTTATTTTCCTGTCTTCTTTATTCTGTCAAATATATTCATATATTCACCATGTTCCCTGCTATAAACAAATGTTGTTTCTTGGGAATAATAAAGTTGATTGATTGATTGAAAACAGTGGAGAAGCAAAACATATTTTTTCTACGAACGTCAAAAAATGACAACTAAGTATAAGTGCTGAGTGACACTTTTTGCAGTTGCGCGTACATATTTCGCACATTGTATGTAAACTATATGAGATTTTTATGTTTAAAATTCACGGTCCTCACTCGAGCAAATATTCCAAGGAAGCATTTCTGAATGTTTAACAATATTTTTTGTTTATCTCTTGGACCGCACGAAACGCAATTCCTATAATGTTCGTGGAACATCGTGCGTATACATAGTGAGGGTATAGGGAGAGCCCTTTTAAGCCAGTTCAACAATATTTTTTGTTTTAAACTTCACATATTACTACTTTAGAACTATGTTTTTTGACGTTTGTAGAAAAAAATGTTGTTTGCAACTCGTGCGCGAAATACTATGGTCATCTCGAATATTTTTTTACTCGGCTGCGCCTCGTTAAAAAAATCAGTTCTTGATCCCCAAAGTAGCATTTCGCGCACTAGATACAAAAATAACTTCACATCACCAGTTCATTCTTCTTATTTAATCATTAAAAATATAGTGTCTTATACAGAGTGACATTTTTTATTTATGGAGCGATTTTGACGAAATTTTTTATAAAATGTTGAGGAAGAAAAGGTGTATTTTGGAGCTGAGCAGTGTCCACTTTTTCTGAAAACTAAAGCCAAGTAGATTACATTGAGAGGCTGAAAAATCCAGAATCCATATTTTCGATTTTTTTTGTGAAGAAATCCACATACGTCTCTGGAATCTGCATCTCCTGAAATAGATCCGTTTCAAGTTTCATGGAAAAATATTAAACATTAACGATTTATGACTGGATTATACTGGATCAAAAAATGGACGCTTTCAACTCCAGAATATCTATATTTTTTGTGGTGTTTGTGAATTTGAGTAAGCCTATCTATGATAGAAAAACATCGTTCAGGAATTACAGATATGGTTTATATGTTTCGGACATATTACGTCAATAAAACTGCCTTTCAATGAAATTATGTATCTTATTAACTCAATTTAATACACCGACATAAAACAAATTAGTGGACACACCCTCAAAAATCAGATGGAGCAACTGCAGGCATGTGTTTCAGTGTTAGTCGAGATTTGAAATCAGAAAAAAACATCTATCAAGATATGCAATTTCTATTTGAAAAAAGAACATTTTCACATTCCCGGATATGGATGAAAGAAATAATATGAGTATAGGACACCACTTAAAAGAGAAGATATAGCATCTGATTCAAGATTTTGTTTCGAAGCTTCCAATATCTTGATTAGTTTTCGAGAGATCGAGTGTTGGAATCGTAAAATTAATTTCTGATCGTACATATTATACTTCCTTTTGTTAATTGGTTGTTGATCAAGAAACATTTAATTGAACCTTCTGTATGATGTTCTTGGTATGATTTGGTTACATTGTCCATGAAGAATATATAATAATGAATTTCATTATTCAAATAGTTATTTCTTTCCGTTTGGATTATTTTTCATTCAAATCTCTTATTATCAACACATATCAACACACTAATTATGAAATTTTTATATATTGTCATGTTTGATCATGATATTTTTTTCGATATCTAAGAAAAATATATCAAATTCTGATTCTATGTCCCGTTAAAAAAAGGCTGTTCACTATTTTTGTATCTTGAGGTGAAATTATGAATTTTAGGAGAATCTGTATAATGCACAACAAACTTCTCTATTCAAAACTTATTACCCAAGATGTGAGGTATGCTGTGACCAAAATCTAGATACCGCAGTTATTAACATTGAGTTTGAGCTATGTTTTGAAGAAAAACAATGGAATATAATTATTATTACTTATATTACTTGAAAACCGTTAGAGATGGGTATTTGGGCAAACAGATTGACAAAATACATACAAATCTGAAAATTCTATCATATCCAAATATGATGCTATTGTTTGGATATTTTGAATCGTTAGATCATCACAAACGGTTATTGAAGTATATTTGAAGAAAAATCCACATGACATTTTTCTTCTAACGTATTATCGAAACGAGTACGCTATAAACACATTCGTTCATGCTTTTCGTTCCATAATCAAAAGTTTAGCTAACTTTCGACTAGACCAAAAAATGCCTGCGAAAATGTTATTTGTCAATCCTAGACTAGGAAGCTATTTTTGAATGAATTTTCAAATGAAAATCAACATGGGACTCATGGGAGCTGTACAGAAAAAATGAAGAAATCTGGTCGCATCATTGTTTTATTGAAATTTTTAACAAAAACTACTCAACATAATATTTCAGTGCCAATGTATTATTACCTGTTGATAGTGCTTAAGAAAAATATATTTATCGAAATACATCAATTATTATTGATCGAAGTATTCACCTTTTTAGTTATAATGTAAGCTAGCAAAATGATCTTTATTTTTGAAAGTTGAACCCCACGCAGAATTGGAATTATTGCTTTGCTTCTTTTCAGAATTTCCATGAATTTTCGCCATCTTATTGGGGTTCCCGAAATCTCTCTTCCCCTCAGAGGAACTGCAGTTTCTAGAACAAAAAATAACATACAGGTATAATAATCCGGGAAAGTAAAACATATATTTAAAGAGGACATGCGTCAGGGCTGCGACGATTCAAATCAAATGACTCGAATCATGACTCGAATTATAATTTCAATCATGTTTTGAATCAACTGATTTTATCGATTTTAATCGTTTATCAAAACAATTCTTGGATTAAATACAAAAAGCAAAAACAATTGTAGATTTTGGGATAAAAACGATTACTTTCTTGGCTAATGCCACGCAGAATATTGAATTATATCCTGCCGAAATCTATGCATTGACTCGTATAAACGAATACTGATACAAGTGATCCTTTCCTGAATGCCTATTGATTTCGATTTGGCCAGGCCACGCTAGACACCTACAGACCGGTTTCGAGCTCTTTGACTCTCATCAGTGCAGGGCAGTCTCCAGTCAGCAGTCCTAAGACCGCCGCTACCATTGTTGTTCATTTTATGAACATTGTGTGGAAATGACTTTGAGCTTTTTTTAATTATTCAACATTTCATTCCACTTTGAGAATTGTGGCTATTTCGTAGTTCCATTCTTTTCTACTCAGATGGCGCTGCTCTCATATCGTCTATTGAGGACGCCTCCTCTGAGGGAATATAATGCCGACTTGATTTTTGTTTGGCTAAGCTACGCTTAGTCTTATTTTGATCCCAACAATACGTTCGTAAAATATTCACATCGAATTTTTAATCACCCTGTATACAGTGTGTCCACCTTTAAGGACTTACAACCCCTGTAAAATCGTTATTATCCGACCAATTTCAAAAAACCTTTTTTTGTTGGATAGGTATTCGAAATGCCCATCCAACGAGAGAGTGATCTAATTCTTGGACTGTTATCGTGGCCAACTGCGACAAATTTCAATGACCCATATTCCAGAAAGTACTATTAGGGATTTTTTTTCACGAAACTTGATGATGGATTCTGAATCACTACCACTTGAAATATACCTGTACCGATTGGCATCATCATAAAACACAGGGTGTCCGAAAAAGCGGATCATCACGTTCTTCAAATAGGTGATCAGCAAATGTAGTTCTGTGGCTTTTCTAGAGAGAAATAATCACAAATTATCATTGAGGATTATTTCAAATATACCTGTACCAAATTTCGTCATTTGAATATACAATGTGAATGAGAAAAAAATTAAAAAGGATAGGTAAGCAATATTTTTCATCCTGATAATTCTTCACTCAAAATAAAAATATGAATCAGGATTACTACATATCTGTAGCGATTTTCATCATCATTAAACATAGGGTGTTCGAAAAATCAAATTAATATTTTTTTTGAGTTGATGAAAAAATATTGCCTACTTTTTCTTTTTAATTGTTTTCTCATACACATCTTATTTTTGAATGATGAAAATCGGTACAGATATGTTCAAAGTGATCCTCAATAATAATGTGTCATCAATTCTTCTCAAAAATACCACAATACTACATTATCTGATCAGCTATTGAAAAAAAAACGTAATTCGTTTTTTCGGACACCCTGTGTTTTATGATGATAAAAATCAGTGAAGGTGTTTTTCAAGTAATCATGATTCAGAATCCATCATTGTTTTTTGTGAAAAAAAATCCCTAATAATAATTTCTCAAATATGGGTCAATAAATAAGTTGGTCGCAGTTGGCCACGATTACAGTTCATGAGTAAAATCACTCTCTTGTTGGATGGACATTTCAAATACCTACCCAACAAAAAAAAGTTTTTTGAAATCGGTCAGATAATAACAATTTTACAGGGGTGGTAGGTTCTTAAGGTGGACACACTGTATGTATGTATCCGGGAAAAGAGTAATTTATGAAAAGTGACA